CCCCAAAACCCCAAAACCCCAAAACCCCAAAACCCCGTAAAATGCCTTATATGTAGAAAACTCGAGAATTAATATAATTATTAATTGTTTAAAGGAAATTTAGGTATGGGAGTTTTTTGTTTGTGAGAGAGTTTGATTGTAATTTTAGACACAATGCCTGCGAGAAGACGTCGTGAAATTTATAGGAACGTAAGTGAAATTAGATTCTGTACTTTGGAGCTTTTGGATTTTGAAATTTGGAGGTGTTTGAGATAAGATTTGCCACATTGGAAGATTTTGTTTATTTTGAGGAATATTAGTGTGTTCTTGAATAAGGCTCTTAAATTTCTGTAGAATACTCCCAATCGAGATGATATGGAAACTCAAAACAATAGAAGTTTGTAAGATCTCTCAGATTCATTCCATTTTTAAACAAAGAGTTTAGGCCTGAATACAGCCCACTTATCTGAGTAAAAGTGGATAAATCAGAGACAAAGCTAATGAGGCTAGAAGGAAATGCAGATTCTCAACAGATTTACTTCTCAGAACTTACCGATGTTACTAAAGTGAGAAATCTAATCTCTCATGGCAAGGAGAAGGGTTCTAAACAGATGTTCTGTATTACAATGTACAATGAGCCTTACATCCAAGTGCTGCAATCTTTAGCTGGAATCTATCGGAACTACTTCGAGCTACTCGAGATCAACGAGAATGACTATAAGGACAAGATCTCCATCGTTATTGTTTGTGATGGTTACCCTATCTTCATGAAGAGTGAGTGCAACAACCAGGTTATTGACAACTGGCAGAGATACGAGAAGGCAGGCATCTATGACCACAAGAAATCCAAATAAATTTTGGGAACACAAGTATCTTGACAAAGATAAGTATGCCAAGGCAGAAGATAGGTACGTCTAAGGGAGAATTTGGAGGTGTATTTGTTATTTTTTTGGAGTTTACAGATCCTTAAGGAAGGATTTTAGTATTTTGTGGAAAGATCATGGGTTTGGGAGTATCTCAATGTCTAAATAGTATTGATGAGCAATCAGTTTTTATCTAAAAAACTAGAGTAAATGAATTCTTATTATTAAGTTCTTTAATCTAAAATAGCTCATAATCGCCTTTTTTTACACAAAAATTACCATCAACATGATCTCTGATAATTTGTTTAGGTATACATTTTCACAACTTCCAGCTCTCAATCTGATTGACGATGATCGCAGAGACGAAGAAGTGAAGAATACTGATAAAAAAGAACTCTTCCTTGAAACAAAGAATGTGGCTCACTGCTTCTCAAGGTCGATGGTCTTCGAAGATTTTCTTAAAGGCTTGAATAACTCTGAACATCAAGGGTTTCTGATAGACAACCTCTCTATTGAAGATTTCTTGTACGGAAACCATAAACAAACTAAAATTTCTACTAGGAAGTACAAGTCACTTCCAATCGACGTACATCTAGTAGTGAAACATGCCAATAGGGGGAAGATTGAGTCCCATTTGTGGTTCTTTAAAGGCTTCTGAAACACAATGAATCCTGATTTTACTACTATTATTGATGCTGGGACTATCCCAATGTGGAAATCTCTATCGAAACTTACAATATTTATGGAGAAGAATTATAATACAGGAGCGGTGTGAGGAGAAATTGAAGTAATTCTTAATGACAAGCATGATGATGGTAGAGAAGTCACCTTCTTTGAAAGCATTCTTCTCAGATCTCAGTACGTTGAGTACAAACTCTCCCATTACCTCGATAAAGCTGCTGAGTCTCTTTTTGGTTACATCTCTGTGCTGCCTGGTGCCTTCAGTATGTTCAGGTGGAAATGAATTAAAGGAGAGCCACTCGAAGAGTTCTTAAAAGGGACTTCTATTTCTGATCCATCTAAACCATTCCCGAGTTGCTCAGAAGGAAACAAGTTTTTGGCAGAGGATCGTATCATGCCTTTGGAGATCATCTCAAAGAAGGCAGGAAAGTACATTATCAGATACGTACCTGGATGTAAAGCTCTGACGGATGCACCATCCACATTGACTCAATTGATTAAACAGAGAAGGAGATGGTTCAATGGCTCATTGTTCGCAACATGGTATGTTCTAAAGAATCCATGAAAAATCATGAAACGCAAAGGCTGCTGAAGAAAGATATTTTATTTTATGTTTTTCATCTACATGGCCTTAAATACCCTAGTAGGGCTACTCATTGTTGGATTGTTTTATGCTTCTTATAGTATATTCTTAAGATCGGTCTTTCCTGCATCAGATTGATTAAACATTTCAAGAACAGCAAATGCACTTGAAAATATCTACTTAACATTTTTATTCTTTGCTCTAGTCTTAAGCACCTGTGTAAGAATTGAATGGTGAGATCGATATTTTAAGGTTGTTGCTATTTTTATGGGAATCTTCTCCCTCTTGATGAGCATAGCAGTTGTTTTCTCTGTGATCAGACTAGAATTAAATATGAAAGTCTATATTGCTGTAGCAGGAGTGCTTAGTACGTATTTGATCCCAATGATATGAAACTTTAACCGATTAAAATTCCTGAACTTCATCAAAGGTACTATTTATCTGTTCTTCATGACTCCTACTTATATAAATATAATGACAATCTATGCAATTGCCAACACTCATGACGTAACTTGGGGATCGAGGGGCTCAACAAGCACTACTCAGGAATCAAAGAGGGACAAACAGCAGCGAGTCTCTTACGAAAACTATAGATCAAACTGGTTGATACTTTTTCTGATAACAAACTTATGTGCTGGATGGTACGTCATCTCTATCTCTCGTCAGAATCAGACAGAGTGGCTGTTCTGGGTAATAGTAGTCCTCGGAGGTATCATCGTGTTCAAGCTAGTCTGATCTTGGCTCTATGCTGTTAGATATCGGTGTAAGAAGAAGAAGATGAAGAAATATATTAAAGAGTAAGTCCCAGCACAGCTAATTTTTTGTAGAAATGAGAATAATGGGATGGAGATCCTCACTGAGAAAGCCCAACAACCTAGAAAAAGGCTTGACTTTGGATGTGTTCCCATAATCAGGCATTGTTCAGAGCAGTAAACTTCTTTTATAATCTTTAGAAGAGGAAGTAAACATCGAAGAAGCTCAACTAGAAGCTTTAGTAAAAAATCTGAAAATGGTAGAGCTGAAAATGGAGAACAACAAAGTGCAAGATATGAGAGTAGACGAAGAAATTCCAGAATGAATAGAAGGAGTAGTACTTACAGTAGGCCTAGCAGATCCAGTAGGCCTAACAGATCCAGTAGGCCTAACAGATCCAGCAGGCACAGCAGAGAAAGAAGATCAAATAAAAGAACAAGAGATAGTAGAATAAAAAATGAGAAAGATGAGCCAAAAAGCTTAAACTCTACTGAAGAAAATAAATACAGACAAGAATCTTCTTTTGCAGATAGAGAATATTCTCTCTATCAAAGAAGTGTGCAATCTTCAAGTAAACAAGAGCTATCCTTAAGTTCAGGGCGGGCAAGTGATGAACATTCGAATGACTATAAGGATCAACCAACTTTTCATTACCCTGGAGAACCTCAAAATAATCCTCGTGATTCATGAGAAGATCTATATCATGGAAGTTATGAAGACAGGAGGTCTCTGAATTCCAGAACTGAGGGTGAACCAGAGCAAAGAGAAAGCAGCAATTATAGCTACAGACATGAAGATAGTCAATATAATAGGAAAGAAAGCTACACAGATACTGTAAGATTAGTGTTAATAAAATCTCACTTTCATAGCAATATTATGCCACTAGGAGTAGATTTGGTGAGGATAATGAACCAAGCTTATCATTTAATGAAAATACTAACAAAAGCTATCTTGATAAGACTGATGGGAAATTTGTTAAAAATAGCAAAGGAGGTAATTATTTTACTTCAATTAGGCTAATTTTTACAATTTTTAAACAAAAAATTTAACCTAGTTTTCTAGATGAAGATCCTCTGCCAGGTGAATTCTATCAGGGAGAATATATTAAGCCTGTAAAAACAGAAGCATCTATGTTACCCAGGACAAATTCTGAGAAAGAAATCTCTCACTATACATCCCTTAGTTCTTTGAGAGAAGAAAAGAAGCTAAGAGAGGAGGTAAAGTCTAACTCTAGATCATTTAGTTGTAATGAAGTTGATAGATTTACCTTTTATTAGCATTATTATGGCTGAATTTAGCTAGAAATGTTATAGACCTAATTTTGAAACTTTATAGGATATTGCTGACGGATACGATGCTAAAAACTTTTATCCTTCAGAAAAGCCAAGTGAGTCTATTCAAGAGGATTCCAGAGACTTTGTCAGCGACAGAGAGTCTGAAGGTAAGTACAAAGCAACACAAAAACACTCAAAACCCCAAAAACTCGACCAACTATTAATCCACACCTATCACTCCTTCTCACCTCCCTTCTAGATGACCAGAGGGGTACCTTCAGGCGCAACTATGGCGTCAGCCATAGGAGTGGCTACAGGAGCCACCGTAAGTCACCTAAAAGGACAAAAAGAAGGAACAGATAAGCAGAGGATTTATGAAGAATTTTGGAAATTCAGAGATTTCAGCTTTTGAATTCGATTTTGGGGTTTTGGGGTTTTGGGGTTTTGGGGTTTTGGGG